AAATAATCTTTAAAAAGGTTGATTTATGGGGAAAAAAAAAAAAAAAACAGAAAAAAAAGAAGAGTCTGTGAATTCTTCCAATTACTTGGACCTGTGTAAAGAAACATCCTTCTTCAGGCCAAGTTTGAGGTTTTAATGCTGAGCATACGACTAGAAGAGCCAGGGAGGGACTGAACCAAGCTTGCAGTTGCTGGAACTGATCAGATGAGGAGCATTGCGAGCATTGCGAGGAAAATGAGCATTGCAAAGCAGTATGGTCCTGATATTCCTGACTATAACTATCTCTTCCTGACAGCAAACATCTGATAGCATGTATAACATGTACTTCCTCTTGTCTCCTCACATGGAAGACAACAAACCAGTACTGCAGTCCTTTACTCTGCAGCCCAAACAAGAGTCTTTGTGATGGATGTAAAGTCTGTCTCTCCTAGTGATTTAAGCAGCTGTTAGTGTGATGTCACATACTGAAATATTGTTACAATCTGTTTTTAAACTAGGAAATTATATGCACATAAATTTACACATATACACATGATGTTCAAAAACTATTATCAATATTCAGGAACATGCATAAATGTGTGCCAGTATGTTTTAGAGAGGACATCTTACTTAGAATTGTCAGAATAGACATTTGATGAGTGTCTATAGCTTTCTTATAGGTATAGAAGCTTTAGAATCAGAACTTGATTTGGAAAAAAAATAAAAAAGAATGAGGCAAGGGACTGCAGGATAGGAGGATATAAGAGGAATTAAAAGGATAATTTTTGTTATGTAGAGAGTCAAAGACTGTGTTAGGCAGCTGAGTTTTGTCAATGCTCTCTGCCCCTGGAACCTTTTTGGACATAAAACAAGTCACTTAAACCAAACTTCCCCTGCTTTTCAGTAGCTGGTTCTTCCTTATGTTCTGGGTTCTTGACTTGAGTGCTTGTAATCTAATTTGCAGAAGCACTGAATGCTGAGCCACCAGGAACTGAATGCTGAGCTTATGAAGTGCTATATTAACCTGAGTGTACTGAAAAATGTAGGCTTAAGCATCTCAGGTTGGGTGTCCTTAGTGTATGACTACTTCTGAATGTAATCTCTGCAAGCATCAGGACATCATTTGCATTCTGAAGACTGCATCATTCCCTTATAACCTAAAATAAATTAGTTGTTTGTGAGAAATGAATGCTTGAATTAGCTGTTCATAAAATGAGTGAGCTAGGGTCCTTTAGAACAAAAATTTACCTATGAGATTTAGATACTGTACCATATAGCACATCTACAAAGGAGAAAATGAAGATCACATATATAACTAGAATTCTGTCATTTCCTAATTTTGATTTCTTGGTTTTGCTATCTCTTTTTTAATCTTTTTTTAATCTTTTTTTAAAAATCTTCTGTAAATACCTTTGATTCTGTACGAGGGGAAAAGATGCTACTTGTGTAATCCAAAGGGCATGTTCTCAAATGCAGAGAGTAACCCTCTCACTTTTAAAGTTCAGGCAGTGCTAATTGCTAAATATGCAATTATTATGTTCTTAACTAAAATGGAACCTAAGTTTATGGTCCTATAGTGAGACAGTAGGAAGGTCTTGTGCAAGATCTCTCCTGCAATAGCTGGTATTCAAGATGTGTTTTTGTTTCACATCTGCACTTCTGCTTCAGCTACTGTCACAATTGATAAGTAACTAAACTGCATGATCTGGACTTCGTAAAACATAATAACCTGGCCTAGAAAAGCACTCTGGGATGGTGTTTGCCTGCATGGGTCAGAGTTGTCTTTGGTACCCATGGAACAGAATGAGACCCGTAAGGATCTGGCTTGGCCCGGCAGATCAAGTTCTCCTGCCTCTTTTGTGATGCCAAAATTCATTTGTGGCAGATGAATGAAAATTTTCTTTTTAAAAGGTGGAATCCTCATGAGATTTCTGAAATTCGATTTTTATGAACAGCAATGTCTAAATATGACTAAAATTCTAGCAGATGGGTATGTGTCGCACATTCATTTCTTTGGGCATTCTGTACCTGATGCTCTTGGACATATATTGGAAAATCTAGGGTTTATGATGGGTTACTACAAAATCAGCAAATGTAATAAAATGTGATATCCTCTTATATGGTAATAATATACTTTATACAGCTCTCAGACCATAGCAGCTTTGACTGTTTTGTAATAATCCAGCCTTTGCTACAGAGCCTTTCTCTGTAAATCAGAAGATTTGGACCAGGACTGTTACTCTTATTTTGTGTGTTAATTATCTACTTCTTATGCAATGGACATCTCCAAGCATCCTCATAAGATGATGTACCAAACACTTCATAAGAAATTAGATTAAACCAGATAACCTGTTTTGTGTGCAGTAACTGCTGAAGTGCCAGGGTGCAGAGCATGTAGGGGTAATCAACCCTCTTCAGCTGCACCTTTTGCTAATAAACTATAGGGAGGGGAAGAGAGAGGGAAACATAATTGAAAGCTGCACCACAAAGTCAAGCTGACAGCATCTGTGGAATGGAAATAGGATCTGGCATATTGTAGATTAGGATGTTGAGTTTTACTTGGCATATTGAAGCAAAACAATTGCATATTAGTCTGACCTGGTCACAGCTAATTAAACTTGCAAAGCCAATTAGCAGCAGTTCTCCATTGTGAGGGTTATAAGCACACAAATGTAAAGTGGCACTGCCACTGCTGCCTCTCATTACATTTTTAAGTGGGTGTAGCGCGAGTGTTGCTGAGCATGCACTTAGCAGGTCAGACATAAATGCCTCTGATCTGTATTATCTGAACAGCTAATTGTACGGAGTATTACAGTCATATACAGGTAAAACAGGCATCAATAAGGAAATAGAACTGGTTAGTTATGCTGATGATTAAAATATAAATGATGATTTATGTAGACCAATTAATCTCTCATTCATGCAGCAGGTAGAATACCTTCATTCTCGCACTCATGTAAAACACTGAAGATCCCAGAAGAGACATTTGGAGACATTGGTCTGCTAAGGGTGCATTTTTGGATCATGTTCATGGCCACAAGAGGTGGAGAACTAATGAGTCAGACACAGATGAAATACTAATCTAATTAAAATACCTTCTATGAGAAGATCCTTAAGAGACCAGACATGACTTTAATTTTACCCATTTACTGTCAGACAAATTCCAAATATCAGATCAATAGAGCTGCTGTTTAACCTAGTATTTTTCTCGTATGTCTTTCTTCATAATATTTTGTAGGATATAGTGCATTTGAATTGGAATATCCATTAATGGAACTAAATCATGGTTTATGAATGACTTACAATGGTACCAAAAACTATGTTTAGGTCAGCATTCTGGAATTAATTAGTATCGGCAGAATAGTGTAAGTCTGTAAAGAGTAAATCTGCTTTATTGGTATGTATTTAGAGCAGCAAAGTATATTGAATTTGTAATTTCCTATCGTTCTTAGGGGACTTCTACAGGGAGAATTCCTTTTCTGAACTCTCTCTGCTTGACTGTTCCCAGAAGAGCAATACTTACTGATATCAGGTTTTTTATTATTGATTTGCTCAGTATAAAGTTCTTTCATCTTCACATTTTATTTTTCTGTCTTTTTTGTTTCATCCAACTTTGTGTTTAGTACACGGTGTGGACTGCCCTGTGGGTCACCTGGAATGTTTTCATTATCTGCTTCTATTTGGAAGTAGGCGGACTTTCTAAGGTAGGTCACTTACTTATCATTCTTCAGGTTTGCGGGAGGGTGTTTTAATATCATAGCTCTCAGATTTTAAAGGCTTGGAACCACAGAGGCGCTGTGAACACACAATCTAAAATTCAGAGCTCCTATCCAAAGAGAACTCTAGTATTTGAACTTCTCTGTAGTCATATTTTGAAGTACATAGATACGATGAGTTTGAATAACAGTTGCTTTCGGGAGTAACATCTGAAAGAAAAAAGGTGTTCAATGGAAAAGCTTCTTTTTGATTGTTGAAAACAGAGTGTGGATGAAATTTTGAGTGTGTATGAAAAATGTATCTGTATTTCTGAGACTGCTTTGGAAGCGGCTAAAAGAAAAAACGAAGAAGGTTAATGTAGTAACTTGTTGAACAAATTGGTCTCATAGTGAGAACGTTAATTCTTTATTAAAAAAAGTGGCAAAAGATGACTCTTTTTCACATATGAATTCAGCTTCCCATTACGTAGCACTCAATGCTTTAGGTCCCTGATTCCTTATTCAAACTCCTGATTAGCGCAGTAGGGTTTGGTGGAACTATTAAGTTGCATGTTACAGTCATGCAAGGGAGCACTTATGTTTAGCATAGGTTATGTTTATAGCACTGTATCCACTGTGAGTTCCATATAATATCTGCTGGTTAGAAATGGAGGATACTGATCTTTGCCTACAGCAATCATATCAGTATGTTGGTAGAATAAGTAGTATTATTACTAGAATAAATGTGGTAGACAATAAAATTAATAGTCATTGACTTAACAATATTAATTGCATTAATCTTAATTCATGTAATGCTTTAAAAGAGTTGTTTGCATGACTCAGTTCAGATGGGAAAATTTGTGATGTACATCCTTTATTGAGATCACCGTTAAATCTCCTGACTTTCAGATAGCAACCAACAAAAATCTGGTGAAAACCATTTAATAAGGTATAAAACTTAATTTGTTCAGACAGTAAATATTCCATTAAAATTAGTGATAGCTTCCTTTGGTTATAAAACCTCCTAAAGAAAAGTTATAATCGTTTCTGTTTATTTTTTCTCTGAATATGATGTTGCTCACCAGGAGTAATGGATTTGATAAGTAAATGAGTTCAGTTCACAGATCAGAGTAAATGATAATGCTGTTATATTCTCATCTGAAAATCTATTAAATGAACAGGAGGACAATACACCAAAAAAGTGATGAATGCCCAAAGTAATTGTTCTTTTTTTCATTTTACATTATACCTTGAGTTTGTTTTTAAGTCAATTATAACATATATAGCAAGATATATGGCTTGAAATTCTCTAACTTCCACTTTCACCACTGTGTTTTACTTTTAGGTCTTTTTATTTATCATGTATGACAAGTTATAAGGCAAAACAAAAACATATCATAGGTATAAGTAAACAGTTTTTATTATTTATTTATGTTGACCCTTGAATTTGGGCGGAACTACTCTATGCAATGTACAATACTTCTAAGTCATCTGTATCAGGACCAAGTTAGCAATAGCAGAATCAAGAATTTTAGGTGAGGTACAGAGAATCCATTTAATGCTAATTATGAAAATTGTGGTAAAGATTCTGCAGTCATCAACAGTTAGCAGTCTTTTTGCATTGTATTCATAAAAACCTGGCTATTTGCAAGTTTATGGATATTTGACACTGGCTTAATTGGGTCCCACATTTTACCAAGCGTATTAGGTTGAAATTTGCTTCATTGCTTTCCATGAGTTTGTTCCTGTGTGTCAGATATGTTGCTATTAGTAAGATATGTTAATGTTATTCCTAAAGGAAACACTATCAAAAGCTTTTCAAAAATGGTTAATTCCTCACTTTTGAAATCTCATCGGGGAATATTCACTTTTTCTTGTGTGATTGTCCTATATTCACATTAAAAATAAGTTGTTTTTTTTTCTGCAATTAATACAAATTTTTTTTTTTTTTTTTACTTCTATTGACATACTTTCAGGAAAAATGATAATAATGTCTGGCAGCTGACTGAATTTTTATTTTTAAGCATGATTGTATAAATTTGCTCTGAATAGAATTAGAGTTAGCCTTACCTGGAGTTTAGTGAATTCATTAGTTCTTCCATCAGAAGATATAACTTGTCACAATAATAAATGGCAAAATGTCTTTATGTGGAATAAGCATACAGTACAAACAGACTACACTTTTCATATATGCTAATAGAAAAACCCCTGGCAGCTGAAATCAGCTGAAGCTCAGATCTTATTCTTGCAACTGAAAGCAAGATATTTTTGAGTATCTCTGTTTGAACTATGCCAAGAAGTCCCACTAAGACTGATGGGAAAGAACAAGGATAATTTATATCTTTAAAACATTTTTCCTTCGACTATAATGCACAATGCCTGTTTTTTTTCCTGGTAAATTGATTGTTTTAAGGCACTCCTTGACTTTTAGCTTAAAGCTTATGCATCTAGTACAGCAAGGTCTTCAGGCTTTTGATCATGAGGAACAGAGAAGAGCAAAGGACACTGATGTCACTCACCCCCACAGGGTCAAACACAGTATGTGTGACTTGATCCTTTATATTCTTCTAGAAAAGCGTGACCTTTTTTTGGTAGGCGTGACATGAAAAAAACTTTATATTGTCAGTTGAAAACACATTTTGTGTTTGAAAATCTTTAGCCAAAAATAGTTTCATACATTCTCAAATATTCTGACCCAAATTCCCATCACAGTTTCTGTTTGTAATAATCTGGAGGGCTGAACTGGTAAATCTGAGGGGAGGAGGTGGGAAGTGGGTGGTTGGGAATATAAAGAATATATATATATATGGCTGTACGCTAGTGGTCAGGAAATTCTCTTGGATTTCTGCTCCCACTCCAATTAAGATCATATTATTTTATGTAAAATGGAAAAGCTTCACAGAGGAGATTGAAAACAGCCCATCCCAGAATAACTATACTGTATTAATCCAGGCAGTCTCCTGTGAAATGGGTGATATAGATTCAAGTCTTTTCAAGGGGGCAAGGAAATAAACCTGACCCACAACCTGAATGTTGTAAGCAAAAGGCTGAGAAAAAAAAAATCTTCCTTGTTTTACAGGGTATCTAAACCAAGCTGCTTTTTAACTTTCATTATAGATGTAAAAATATAATTTATTATTAGGAACAAAGAAATTGTATTTCATCAGAAATTTTACAAGAAAGACTTTTTTGGTTAACCTAGTATTTTCAATTCTTTTTTTTTCTTTTCTTTTAGCAGTGCAACCCCAGCAGATCACTATTTGTGTAGTACTAGAAAAAGTGCCTTCATGAGGAAAGAAATTTACTTACACTTTTCATTTCTACTGTCATAAAAGCTGAAAGTGTAATTTCAGGTGTTAACTATCCTGTTGGACAGACATGAAACTGTAATTACATGTTCTTTTAATCCTCCACTGCAAAATGACAGATCACTACATCCATACACTTTCAAGCTGCTAGGTTCATTAATGTTGTGTGGATCTTATTCTATGTCTCAAAAAGAAAGTGTGTTCAAATTGTTGCTTTTAAGAGTATAGACAAAATTTAGATGTATAAACATGAACAGAAATCTCAAGAACTAAGAGTGAAGAAATAAAACACTAGGAATTCTATGGAACATGTTTCCAAATATGGTTTGCCTACATCCTATCTGAAACTGTACTACAAATTATGCCAGAGGTTGTCATTTTTAAGATTTGGATATTCCTCTTAAATGTTGCTCACAGAATTTCTAACTCATTTAAGATAGTTCTCCATCTTCAGCACTACACTGTTTGCTGTACTTTACAAATACAGCAGAGATTTGCTTTGAAATCTCTTTTACATTACGAAGGAGATTTCATTCATATGTTGCATGCAGCTAATATTTCTGCCACTTACTACTTTAGATCTGAATTGAAAATAGTGGCATGAATTTGTATTATCATTTGCTCTGCCCATTGATACTTTTTGATAGATTGCTTTTCTACTGATGGTTTTTGTTGTGATTTACTGTCACATTGGCTTTTGTGTTTGGTTGCCCTTCATCTGAGCAACTGTATATTGGCATATTTTTCTGCAGAATGTTACATCAGAGTCGAATACTATTGAAACACAGGGATTTGGGGAGGTTTTCCACTTCCTCTTATTAAACTGAAAATATCTATTCTCAGTATCATATCCTCTTTAAAAGTACCTTATCACCTTGAGTAGTTCTGTATTCTGCATGCCTACTCTAGTGTAACCTATAACATACTTAAGCAGCTATGCAAGATTGGTGACTTCGTTTCCTATTCTGTGACGTTCCTGTTTGCACATTTTTCTCTGTGGCATGCTGCTTGAGTATGAGCTTTTGTATTTTGTGTATGTTAATTAGTAAAAGAAGAAAATCTTTATATATATATATATTTTCCTGTAAGATTTAACTTGAATAGAAGTTCAAAGTCTCTGAGAGTCCTGGAGAGCTTTAATAAGCTGGAGACCGAACTATAGATTAAATTGTGATGCAGATATGTAGTTGCTGTGTAGCATTTTAATTCCATTCAAATTTATTCCATCAGAAGACAGATTATTAAATTTCTTACTGCAAAAGCTGTGGGAATGGAGAAATACATATTATACATTAGAAGTCAGAGTGATCATTTGGGCTATGCTAGAATCCAGTTCCTACTAAGTGGTACATACTATTCTGTCCTTAATTATTGTGCAATTATATCTAATCATCTCAGGTGGAGTAAGCTTAGGTCAAAAGACATTATATTTTGTAATTAAAAGAGAAACAAAATATATATTCATGTCCTTTTTTTTAATATGTAATGAGAACATGAACGATGTTTGGATTTAGGATAACTGTGAAATAAAAAGTGATTGTTACTCTTAACGGTGCTGATATAAGTGAGAAAATGGAAACAATTATTCTGGCATAATTAGCATCAGAGTTCTCCTCACTGGGGCAGCTCACTGAAGAAAACAAAGTTGGCAGCATTCGTAGGAGAGGAACAAAAAGTAATAAGCAAACCAGTACCTATAAG